ATTAGAGCTAAATGGGGTCTCAGGATAGGGAATGTGCAGGAATCTTTGCAACATTTCTAAAAATTTGAAGATCTTTCAAATAAAATTTAAAAATCACTTCTGCAAATGAAAAATGTTTCACAGCTACACTTACAGTTTAATTAAACATGCTGGAAAAGATGGCTTTTATTTAACTGATAAACAAAAATGGGTGTTGTAACACCTGAAACTAATATAATGTATGTCAATTATATTTCAATTTTAAGAAACGGGAAGGTGAGAGGAAAAGGAGGGTTAAAAAAATTCACTACAGAACTTAATTTAACATTCCTAAAAGGTACATTTTTTTCATATTTCTCAAGAAGTAACAAATAGCAATTCTGCCTCAATACCTCCTAATCAAATATACAATTGAACAGATGGACTACCTATGCTTTCATAATTCAGAAACTCCAAAGGTACAAAAACTCTGCAACTACATCAAGGAAAAAAGTCAGCAATGGTAAAATCACCACATAGTAAATATTTTGCACTCAGTAATGTAAAACAAGAACAATCCTTTATCAGATAGGAAAAGTAAACTAATGCCAGCCAAGTATCTGCAATTTCCAAACCTACAGTTCTAGAAAGATGACCACACCTAATTTCCACCCCCTTCCCAACAAAAAATCTATATTAAACCAGGCCGTCAGATAACGAACTGTTGAGATAATAATACTTGGTCAACAGCCACCCAAAATGATGTTGAAGGAAGTACATTTATTGATACAAAAAATTCACATGTGAAAAATGTGGTCTATGTACAGCAGGAATCCACTTGCGTATTTTTAAATATATAAAAGAAAAACGTGACAGAAAAGATTAGGAAGTATATTGCAAAATATAAATAATAGTTATTTCTGAACATGTGATTATGATTTTTATTTTATCATTATTTTGTGATTTCTCCAACATGTGTATTATTTTTACACTAAAAATGGAAGTCAGAATAATTTTAACATATTATTTAACTTTAAAAGTTTCTATTTATTTACTCTTCCAACATTATATTCTCGGTGACCCTTGGAAAACCATCCCAACAGTATGAGGTATTAGTAATTATAAGAATTCTCTTAAAAATAAGGCCTATCTGAATACCACCTTTTTGCATAATTATATCAGTTATAGATAAGGCAGTATCAGGCAGGATCTCTGGATCTAGACTGCCAGGATTCAAATCCCAGCTACATCACTGACTGGATACATAACTTTGAGCAAATTATTTAACATCTCCTTACCAGTTTCTTCATCTGAAAATGAGGTTTCCACTACTTACTGAACTGAGTTATTTAACATAACTAGTGCCTAGCATATAGTAAGCACTTAGCAGACTTTTAAAAAATTATTAACTTATTTTACAGGTGAGGATGCTGAAACACTAAAATCAGTTAAATAAGCCTGAAAACAAAGATGTTGGGATTTTTTGGAGGGGGGAATGCATGGGAGGGAAGGTAAGAGAGAAGACAGAGAGAAAGGGACAGATACATATAACCACAGCTAAAACCCTGGGTTTTCTTTCTTAAGTTGCTATTCAAATGGAAGTTCCCTAGCATAATGCTCAATAAATATTCCCTTCCTTTCTTCTCTCCTTTCTCAACCTATATCTTTGTTTGTTCCTATACAGCAATAGACCTGGTTTATATTCATCACATCCCTAAGCCACCTTTCCTACAGACTTCCATTTTAAAGTTAACTATATGTGTTTTAACTCTGTCCCAACCAAGTAGCCTTACATTAGAAATTACACATTGGTCTTTTCCAAGTCAATTCCATCACTCAGAGAAGACCTGCAATTTAAAAATGTTAAACTTGCATAGGACACTCATTCCCTTTTGAGTTGATTGTTAAGAACTCACTCTGGTCCTAAATTTCCTTAATTTTATATGCATATAATGTCAAGAGAGGAAAAAGCCTACATCAAGAGACCTGTGTTCCAATTCTACCCAGGCCAATAATTAGGCTAGAACCTGAAGTTGGTGATTTTGCCACTTTAACAAAAAATAGGTGAGTAAGCTATGTTACTAATAGACCCATCTAGTTCCAAAATTCTGCAGCTCTTGGACAAATTTGAAAATGAACAATTCACAATTTCATGGCTTCATGATAGTTCCTGATTGTGGAATTGTTTCCCAGTTTCCCCACTCTTGTAGAAAACTCTTCTGACACCTTCCATTAAATATCTATCGCTTCTTTTATGCAACCTTCCTCCAGCCCAAATAAAACGAGCTGCTCCATATTCTCTGAACTCCCACGATTGTATTATGTCTATTAAAGATGCTTACTTGCAAGGTGCCTGCCATCTCTGGAGTTCCACATCTTGTACAATGCCTAGCACACAGCAGATGCTGAGCGTGTTAAAGATTTGTCTATAAAGTTAAATTAGGTTCCTGTAAAGTTCCCACTTGCACCATCAGAGAGTTTAGCTTAATTATACAGAGCTAAATTTGCAGATAGTTAGATACACAGAGACCAATTTGCAGCACCACCAAAGCTTTGTCCCACGGACTACAAAACTTTTCTGAGCATTTGTACAAAAGCGACACACAGGTAACACTACTGCAAATTATCTGGGCAACCTCTGGGGATTGCCCAACCTTATCTACCCTACCTCACTATCCAAAAACCTCTTTACCCTGGTCTCCTTTGTTCCACAGCACTTACGACCCCCTACTATACCACATAATTTACTAATGATGTTCAGTGTTTATGGTCACGTACCAGAATATAAGCTCCACTAACATAGGAATTTTCAATTGTTTTGTTGATAAGTAATACCAAGTGCCTACATAAGTGCAGTGAATGATTTTCTAAATCAATAATTCTCTCCTGCTATCTTAAAGCCTGAGAGACTTATGAGTCATCACCTTCATAACCCTATCTCACATGGCTCTTATTTCCGTGGTAGAGTAATCTTACAAGTAAGCTTCTAAGAACTGGAGGAAAATATTTTTTTTTTAATTCCTAAACTGCAACTCTTATTTTCTTGGTTCATCTGTGGGTATAGAAATAATATTCAGGAAACTATACAAAATAACAATTAGATGAAATAACCAAAACTTTGTTCTTTCACTTGTGATAATTATTTCTATCTGGGAGGTCTTCACTTTGGATTTTAAACTGCTGATGAAACAAAAACCCAAACTAAAAATGTTGAATATCTGGATTTTTTTTTTTTTTTTTGCCATTGGATTGGCAAACACATGGGCCAAAATATACCAGGAACTTATTTACTGTGACCTGCCTGAAAAATTGTGCTCCATATAATACAAACCCTCTACTGTGCTATAGATGTTAGTTATGGCAAGCTTTTTCTTCTGCAGCTAATATGTTTTGAGAGAAATGAACTTATCTACCTCATTTCTGTAATTATCAAATACTGAGCCATGTAAAAATAGGATACCATTCTATTTGTATTCATAAAATACCCCCAAAACCTTTTCCATCTCCTAGTTTCGGCTAAATATGGTTCTTCTCTGCTTTCAACCAAATAAGCTATGAATTCCAAGAAACGCCAGCCCATCGCAGCACTCATGGACATCATCTACATTGCTGTTTCAAAGACAGCTTTTAAATTCTTGAAGAAATCAAACATCAACAATGTAAAATATATTCAAGATGAGAAACTTCAAGCTGAGAGGCCTGGATGTCTTTATTCAAACAAATAGGAAACAGACTTTTATGGAGTCACCCATTCCTCTCATTTAACACAACCCTACCTGACAAACTCAGAATTAACTCCTTAGATGAGTCTAAGAATGAGATTTCACAGCTCTAATGTGTTAGGCAGGTTGACACAAGTCAGACCTCATGCATGAGAAGTATTAGCAAGTCTGCCTGCCAGTTAGCCTCCTGTCATCACTCAGTTTTGCTTAAACACCCTTTAAAATAGATTTTGTTTTAGATATGAACCTGTGAAAATAAGGGTTGATTAAATTACTAGGATTTAGCTGCCAATGTGATGACCAAAAATTAGAGGAGGAGAAAAAAGAGAACTGGAAACAGAAATGCTATCTGCTATTGTTGTGGAGAAAAACGCTATTTTCTACATGGGGTGGGTTTCAATCTCCAGGTTTTTACTAGCTTTCTACCCATTAAACATAGGTGAATCAGAACTAAGCCTTCAAAAGCCACAAAGAGCCTTCAAAAAAGGTCCTGTTGGGGAAGAACCTTAAGCTTGTACGCAGCCTGCATACCTCCGTCTGGTCATCCCAACACTTGTCTGCAATAAACAGTAAGTGAAATAATGATCAGCACTAAATGTGACGTTAAGTTGGCATTTACAAATTATTTGAAAAATAACTCCCCAGTGGACCCAATCAACCCAGGAACCCAGACCCCATTTGGTGGTTGTCTAAAAAGAGAAAGCCCATAGTCAGGGGAAGCACGTTGGGTGCAAGGGCGCCTCGGGGAAGTAAGGAGCTGCCCCAGACCTTAAGACCCCAGGCTGTCATCAGCACATTCTGAGCCGCAAGCAGGGTCGTTAATTTACATAACTGTGTTACACCCACAAGACTTGTCACCCCAATTTCCCATTCCTAAACCCAAGAGGTAAGTTAAAAGGGTCCTGGTATGACGGAAGACAGAAAGTACGTTCCGTCCTCCATGCTTGGGACCCAGAAATAAGCAATGGGCAGGCAGGATGGAGACAGACGACCCCGCACGCCAGGGATCAGGAGGTATCTACGTAGAGCGTGCAAACCAACCAACCCAAGAGATGGGCGAAGAGAAGGGTTGTGGTGATGGAGAAATGCCGACGCAGGCACCGGCGTGTCCGGGCTTGAGTTCCGGGAAGAAAGAGCCTCCGTGGGGGCCGGTGGATTCCAAGCGTGCTTGCAGCGGGCCGCGGCAGCGGCGGCTGCGGTCAGGCAGCGCGAGCGCTGGGGGCAGGTTCCCGGGGAGCTGCCCGGTGGGAACGCCCGGCTGGGGCGGCGCGGCCCAGGTCGCCGGAACAAAGCCGGCGCGCGAGGGGGCTGGCTACTCACAACAAGAAGCTCATGTCGGCCGCGGCGTGGGCTGGGGGCTCGGCGGTCCTAGGCCTCGGGCGGAGGGGGCCGGGGGGGAAGAGGAGGACGCAGGCGAGCGCCGGCTGTTCCGCGGCGGCAGCTAGTTCGGCTTTGCTAGTTCCTAAGGCAGGCAGAGGGGGCGGAAGTGGGAAGCGCACAGCCAGAATCACTCAAGAGGAGGGGAAGGAAAGGGAGGTGGGGACAGGGCGGCCGGCCCACTCCCGAGAACCGCCGCCACAGCTGCCCAGAAGCTCCTCCGGCTCCTCCCCACAGGCCCCCGCTGCCTGAACCCCGTGTACTCTCGCGAGATAGGCGCGCGCCCACCCCGCCCCGGCTGCGGCCCGAGCCCCTCACGTTCTGGGCACTTGCGGCCCCGGACCACGCCCGGTGAGAGGCTGGGGCCATCGTGCCGGCGGCGGCCTGTCCACCACCGGTTGCGGGGCGTGACAGAGCTCTCCGAGATGCTTACCTGGGTTTCAGCGGTCAGGGAAGAAGTGGGCTTCTACAACGGATGTCAGGGTCCTGCAGTGAGGGATGGAATTGCCACCAGAGTTCTGCCCACTGTGAGTGCCCAGCAAGGGATGATGAAAAGTTATGGAGTCTCTGTGTTGGTATATAAAAACAGAAGGGAGTTTCATCTGGTTGGGATGATTTCGATGTGGTTGTGCCAGAAGAGAGGAAAGGTCTAAATGGGTTTTCAAGGCCCCTGTCGTTTTATGGGCATATCTTAAAGACCCTGAACTAGAAGATAGATGGTCAGGGTCCATCACTGTGAACAGGCAAACTAGGCTGTCCGCAGCATCTGGAAAAATTATGATGACATAGTCAAGATGGAGCATTCTGAAATAGATTATAAAATTTGGTCCCATTAACTATTTAAACGCAAGACCCTCTATATGGGGGACTGAATCGTTTCTAGCTTATATAATGTTTTGTGCATCAGAGTGCCCAATAGTTATAATGGATTTACTCCCCATAAAGGATTAATCCCCAATGCCCCTAATGAAGCCTTCCACAGCATTATCAATTTGGGTAACCATTTATTTTACACGAGATGTCCATCTTTACTCACACCACCTGTCAAATCCACAAGTTTTCTGAGAATATGAGTAAAACTTGACTATGTGCAGCTATTAACCCACCTTGGGCTAAAAGCCTTGAAGGAGGTGCCAAAATGAAATGTATTCTATTGAATTTATGCACTTAGTTTGGCATGTTGGTAAATCAAACCATTTTTAAAAACAGAAGGAATATTGGAATCCTGACACTATCTCAAGAACAGCAGAGTCACTGGAATAGTTTGAGAAGACTTAAATGATCAAAAGATGTGGGAAATGAGGGGGAAGGGATGATTTAATGAAAATAATGTATGTATGATATAAAAGCCTGTGTTGCAGATCTTGATATGGTACTAATTTACTATATAATTCCTTAAGGGTGTTTTAAAAATAAGACTTGAATTACCAGGTTAAGAAATGTTCGCAAAGAGTAAATCAGTTAACCTGTTAGAACAAGTTTTACTCTCTTTAAAATGAAGGCCATGGATTATGACATGATGTCTAAGATATCTTCCAGTTCTAATATACTGTCATGAAATAAACATAATAATGTGATAGACAGTAATGGTGAAGGAAGATGATCTAATTTAAATTGAGTGGTTAAAAAAGGCCTCTCCAGGGATGTGATATTTTTGCTGAGACCTAAAGGAAGAGGAGCCAACCTTGCAGAGAGCTAGGGGATGAGCATTTTCTGGTAGAGAATAACAAGTACACATGCTATAAGATAAGAAAGAGCTTAAAGAGTTCATAGAACTGGCAGGTTATGGCCTAGGCAGAGCAAGCAACAAGATAAGGCTGGACTTTTAGACAGAGGGCAGGCTGGGGCTCACAGGCCTTGCTAGATAAGACATTTGGATTTTATTCTAAGAACATTAAGAGTCAGCAGAGAGGGTAAATAATAGGATGAGATAAAATAATCTGAACATTTTTTCTTTAATTTGGAAAACTTCAAACATACACAAAGGGGAAGAAAAGAGTATCATGAATACATCACACAGCATCAACAATTATCAATTCATGATCGTTGGTTAACATTTTAGAAAGATGAATCTCCCTTCTTGTGGAGAATGCACTAGAGGGGGCCAACATGTCAGAAGGGAAGCCAGAAGACTATTGTCTTATATATAGAAGACTATTTAGAAATCAATAATCTTGAGGTAAAAGCAACAGAACCTGGTGATTGATTGATCGATCGACTGATTGAGGGGGTTGGAGTAAGGAAGAGGTCAGAGATTACTCCTATTTTTTTTGGCTTTAGCAACTGGTAGATGGTTCTGCCATTTATTGAAATAGGGAAGACATGAATCACAATTTTGGGATAAAACTAAAAATTTCAGTTTAAATATGTTAACTTTGACATGTCTATTAGACATCAAAGTAGTAATGCCAGACAGAGGTTCGACTACTCTGCAAAGCCTGGGGAGAGATCTGAACTAGAAGTATGCATGCAGGAGTCCTCAGTAAGTAAATGGTACTTGAAGCCATAAGATGGGCTTTCAAATAGGAATTTATATGCCCAATAAGAATAGACTTAGCAGTGTTACCTTACCTTTACCTGTGTTTCTTCTTTCTTTACTTCTCTTCCTAGATATCTCAGGTTTCTGATCAGCATTTACCTTTCCTCCCAAATTTGTATTGAGAGTCTCCTTTCCCCTCAGGATTGGTACAGCCTTAACGAAAATGATATATCATAACTTTTTAATTAGATTAATCATTTCCAATGTGTTAATTAATATATATTACCCTTCTCAGATAAAAATAACACCAGTTAAAACCAAGTTTCCAGTAGTAGATGAGGGGAAATTTCTCCCTATAGGAGTATTTCAGTTAAAATAAAAATGAAGTAAGACTGATTGAAGTATTAGAATATCACCATTTTTGTAACCCCAAATAGATTAATAGATTTGGGCACTGATCATCAATGGCTGCCAGTATCACAAGATAACCACACTTTATGTGTGTCCTGTTGGAAGAAAGTAAAATCATCTGTGAAGAACTCTTGCCAACAAAATAGAACCTGAATCTGGTCAAGCCTCGAGATGGAATTTATCAAATTACAGGAAATAACAGATAACAGAACAGTATGATACAGACTATGTTTAATGACACCACATGGATGCAATCAGCAAAATCCAAACAGTGGGGAAATTATGCAGGTCCCAATTTCTTCAACAAATAAAATGCAATGAAAAGAGAGAGCTGACGGAGAAACCTAGAGTTTGAAAAAGAAAAAAAGGAACAATACAATGTTTATGTCATTAAGAGAAAACTGGAAAATTTGAACCCTGGATATTTGATGGTACCAAGCACCACTTATTAATTTGTTGATGATGATGTGATTATCTTTTTAAAGAGCCCTTATTTTTAGAAATATGTACTGACACAGGAAAGGAAACTATCAACAGAACAGAAAGGAAACGTACTGTATGGGAGAATATGTTTGCAAATGATGTATTTGATAAAGGGCTAATATCCAAAATATATAAAGAACTCATACAACTCAACAGCAAAAAAACAATCTGATTTTAAAAATGAGCAGAGGCCTGAATAGATACTTTTCCAAAGAAGATATACAGATGGTCAACAGACACATAAAAAGATGCTCAACATCACTCATCATCAGGGAACTGCAAACCAAAACCATGATATGATATCACCTCATACCAGTGAGAGTGGCTAATATTAACAAGACAAGAAATAACAAGTGTTGACAAAGATGTGGATAAAAGGGAACCCTTGTACACTGATGGTGAGATTATTAATTGGTGCAGCCACCACTATGGAAAACAGTATGGAGGTTTCTCAAAAAACTAAAAATAGAAATACCATATGACCCAGCAATTCCACTTCTGGGAATTCACCTGAAGAAAATAAACTCACTAATATGAAAAGATATACATGCCTACATTTATTACAGCATTATTTACTGTAGCAAAAATATGGAAACAACCTAAATGTTCATCAATAGATGAATGGTTAAAGAAGACATGGTACATATACACAGTGGAATACTACTTAGCTGTAAAAAAAAGAATGAAATTTTACCATTTGCAATGACATGAATGGACTTCTTAGAGGGCAATTATGCTAATAGAAACAAGTCAGACAGAAGAGGCCATATGGCATATGATTTCACTTATTTGTGGAATCTAAAAAACAAAACAGAAACAAAACAAATAGACTTAAAGACACAGAGAACTACTGGTGGTTGCCATAGGGGAAGGGGATGGGAGGATGGTTGAAATAGATACAGGGGAAAAATTAGTGAGAGTGTTTGATGTCCTGATCTGCATGATAGCTGCATGAGTGTACAGACATACCAAAATTCATTGAGCTGTACACTAAGATTGTACAGTTTATTATATGTACTTCAATTTTAAATATANGAAGTAGGAGTATAAATGAAAGGAGATTGTCCATGAGTTGATAATTGTTAAAGTCAGGTGATGAGTATATGAGGATCATCGTTCATTCTGAGTTGTGTAACTTTTGTTCAGTTTTGAAATTTTCCATTATATAAAGAAAACAAGACCAATATTCCTGATGAACATAGATGCAAAAATACTCAACAAAATATTAGCAAACTGAATTCAAAAATACATCAAAAAGATCATCCATCATGATCAAGTAGGATTTATGCCAGGGATGCAAGGATGGTACAACATTCGAAAATCCATCAACATCATCCACCACATCAACAAAAAGAAGGACAAAAACCACATGATCATCTCCATAGATGCTGAAAAAGCGTTCGACAAAATTCAACATCCATTTATGATAAAAACTCTCAAAAAAATGGATATAGAGGGCAAGTACCTCAACATAATAAAGGCCATATATGACAAACCCACAGCCAAAATCATACTCAACAGTGAGAAGCTGAAAGCTTTTCCTTTAATATCAGGAACAAGACAAGGATGGCCACTCTCTCCACTTTTATTCAACATAGTACTGGAGGTCTTAGCCATGGCAATCAGACAACACAAAGAAATACAAGGCATCCAGACTGGCAAGGAAGAAGTTAAACTGTCTCTGTTTGCAGATGACATGATTGTATATAAAAAACCCT